TGGATTTAACTCCATTCACCACAACTCTTTGGGCCCAGCCATCCAGCCAGTTTTTTACCCAGTGAAGAGTATGCCCATCCAAGCCATGAGCAGCCAAAATGATGCACACTTGAGAATATGCAAGGAACAGACTGACTTCTATGTCAGTAACTAACTCAGAAATTAATGATGTTGAACTGTCTCTCTAGAACTGACTTCACTCAGACAAATAGCAGTTGCTACATAAATGAGGCCAGCAGAGAAGGTGAACAGCATGTCCCTGTCAATCTACTCCAAAGAAAGGGAGGGTCCTCAAACACCTGTGTGATAGCTTTAGTAGACGTGTAAAAGCCAATGCTACTTTTCTGGCCACCTTTCTGTATTTGCTCTTAGGATAATATGAATCAAGAAATGAGGAACCAGCGATCATTCCAGGCAGAAGAACGCCATGGTTTTGACTTCAGTTTTAGGAACTGTAAGAGCTCAAACAAAATATTGACATAGCTGCAAGGTGAAAGTTGGTCCTGGAATATTAAGATGTATCAGCTTTTCTGGCACAGATTCCATTTGATTTCCTATGGTGTTTTGCTGGTCACGCTATCCTTAGTCATATGGTATTATGCAACTTTAATTCCATTTCTGTCAATGCATCAGATGAGACCAGGTTTTTTTGTTGCAGCGTAACTGATCAAAGCTGTCTTCCTTACTGAAGTCCTAATCTGCAAAAAGACATGGGAGTAGTATTTAATTCTGCAGACTTCTGTTTCTTAAGGATAGGATCCTTGACTGGACTTCTTTTGGAAAAGGACCAGTGGAATGTTCAGGTTTAGAGAAGACGGAAAGACTTACATGCATAGAAGTACGTAGTTCTTAGGCCCATATAATTGATGAAAAACATGGAATTTGTCAGTGTGTTCCAGGACAAGAATATATTGTCTTCCTGCTAGAGCCTGGACTCCGTTCAACGTGCCCTTTTTATCCAAGACTGCAGATTTCTTATCCAAGAACATGGTAGTTCTTCATTGATATGTCCATAAATACAGGTAGTTTAATCGCTTGTCCACAATAGAAGCATCTTTCATATGGAAACATGCCAAATAGTAGTCCATGAACTATTTTTTAGGGTTTGCACTGGAGATATAAAAAGGAGAGATACAAACATAACAGTTTGAGTTAGTAACAATTATTTTTAAAGACATGATGGTTATAAAGTAGCAGAAAATTAATTTCTACATCAGTAGAGCTTCAGTTCTATTAACTACTCTTTTTTTTTCTTTTATAATAGAGACAAAGAATTGATTATTAGTCATATGAAATCTGTGGAAGCCACTCTTCATAAGGTAAGAATTTGAAGTGTTCCCTCTGCATGTCTATTTCCAAACACATCGAAGTTTTACAACTGCTTATTCTCAGGGAAGGAGGGGAGTAGAAGCTGTTGTAAAGCAGCTTCCTTGCCTTAGAGTTTTCACCTTCAACTTCTTTCATCTCCAAAAACTAGTCATATTTAGTGAAGTCAAATAAAATACAATTTTGTAGTATACAGACTTCTTATTTTTAAAACAAAACTTATTACAAAATTAATCTTCCTTTCCTCAATCACTAAGCACTATTTCTGGTTACCAAGTGAAGACTATTGATCATCCAAACAATTTGTAATTGCTGCTGAGTTAACTCTCTCTACTGAGTAAGGCAGAGGTCATCTGGTGAGGTGACATACATGGTGACCATAAGACATTTGGCTTTGTACACGCTACTTTAATCTTTGATACATGATAAATAAAATAAGGAAAAGACAGTAAGTATGAACCTGTAATCAAAAAGTTTAATGATATTTTTTTAAAACTTTTTTTAAATTGAGTAATAATCTAAAGTTGTCTCTTTGACTTATACTATTTTGCCCTGGTATAGTACTCTTTGAAGGTCCAACAAAGCTGTCTATATTAATTATTTGGGAGAAAGGACTGTTTTTAACTGTAGCTCTAGTGGCTGATTGTTTTGTAGCTGTTTTTAGTCCAGAGCAACACAAAGCAAAAGAAGTGTTTTTATTATCTTGGAGTGTTCATTTCCCTTATCACATCTTGAATTCCCAGCAACATGGGAATCTGTTCCTTGTTTTAGTTGCTTCTTTAGTCCACCAAAACTGCTGTTAATTTAAATTTCAGATACCTTTTTCAAGTTTGTCTTTCCTTTAATGTTCACAAAAAGTGACAGTACCTAAACTGTGCTGGTAGGTAAAGTCTTCGTTTGTGTCCCCATCTTCTTCATACTGGCTTCTTTGAAGCTTGGGAAGCCTATGTAATGCAGAAAGTGCTGTGTTTTTACGGTAACATGTACGTGTAATGTCCTTGGCCTTGAGAATTTATTGTTCTGGATTGCAAGTTTACATTTTGATTTAGAAAGCAGTGCTGTATATGCACAAGGACTGAAATGTTTGGAGAAAGGTTATAGGGAAGGTCACGTGCTTAGTACTGATTTTCCGGATGTGGTGAGCGGATTGAGAAAATGGCATCTTTCTTTGAGAATTTTAGTTACCACATTTGCTTCTTAATTCTTGATATACATAGTTGTTAGGCTCAAATAGCTTATTATTGAGTAGCAGAGTAATGTATCCTTTCTGGTTTGTCAACGTAAAGAATGAGGAAAACATAAAAATTAGAAATGTCAGCATGCTTCATTCAG